CTTGCAAAGATACAGAATTGCTTTCTCTCCAACCTAACTTCCACAAATCAACCAAACAGAGACCCTATGGACCAAACCCACCAACTCCCGTGGTCCATATGATAGGATTGGTTGGTTGCCTTCCGTTTATACATACCAAATTTTAAGAGGAGCACGCGATACTTGTTTGGGACACTTAAACACGATGGGTTCTTTCTTGACTCCCTATACATTAAGATTTCTTATATTGACGCGAACACTACACATTAAAAAAAACTACATGTTTACGGATTTTATCGCATATATTAACTTATTTTATATTCCCGACGTTTCGAGCACTTTACAGCACCCATGGTCACGAGGGGGACTGGGGTTTATGACATCCCAATGTCATAGCTAACCACCTACAGATTAAAAATTATTAATTTTTATTAGTGTAGCCGGCCACAGTCGAGCAAGTGCCTGCTGTACTGCCATATGTCAGAGGTGTCACTGACAAAATTGGCTACATCTTGAAGCGTGCTTCCATTAAATCATAGTTCAAGCCCCCGAAGAAGATTAGTCAGTTTTTACCATCAGTCAAGTGTAATGTCCCTCTGCAAGATGCAGGAGTGTACAAGTTTGATTGTGAATTTGGTCTTTCTTATATAGGACAAACTGAAAGATTCATAAAACCCGCGTTTAAGAACACATTGCTGATGTGAAGAATCGACGCTCCGAGAAGTCTGCAGTCTGCGAACACGTACAGGATCGCCCCCGTCACTACATTAGATTTGACAGACCACAAATCTTCACTAAAAACACTGATTCCTTCCAAGGATGATTCGCGAGGCTATTCTTATTTCAATAGAGAAGATGGCTGGGTGCTACCATCTGCTTGGGATCCCATAGTTAATAAAATTAAGTCCCAACCCAAGCATTCAACTGTAAGACTTCAAGATACTGTAAATTCATACTGCGTAGATCGGAATAAAAATAAATAATTTTTAATCTGGAGGTAGCCTTAGTTAATTATGACATTGGGACGTCATACACCTCAGTTCCCCCATGACCATGGGTGCTGTAAAGTGCTTGAAACGTCAGGAATATAAAATAAGTTAATATACGTGATAAAACCCATAATAATAGTTTTATTTATATCCCTATAAATTTTTTAAATTTGTAATTTTTCAGTGGCGCATGCCATTTCCGCGCTATGTCACATGATTACCGTAATAAATAGGAACTGCCACCTTTTTTTATTGTAAAAGTTAAATGACTAAACGATTTATAATCCACCTGGTGATAAGTGTAAAATTTTAAAACTGCATACCAGGATAAATCCTGTAAATTTGCTTAGCATGTTATATTTTTAATTGTAATATATATCCTCATTTCTAAGTTTATCACGCAGAGACTCCGAGCATAGCCCTCTCCATAGCTCGCTGAGCAACCATGAGCTTCCTCATCCGGCTAGCAGTGAAGGACCACGTCTCAGTTCCATAGGTTTTCACTGGCAACACGCAAAGGTTGTACAGTCTCGTTTTCAAGTTTTGAGGTATACCTGACGAGAAGATGTGCTGTAATTTCCCGAACGCTGCCCAACCGAGTTGAATCCGTTGATTTACCTCTCGGTCGATGTTAGACTTACCTAGTCGGACTTTTTGTCCCAGGTAAATATATTTGTCAACAATTTCGAGCTTAGTGCTCCCAACAACTACCGGCATAGGTGTGACATGGACATTTAACATGATCTTTGTTTTGTCCATGTTCATCTTAAGACCTATCCGTTGGGAGACACTATTGAGGTCATTTGAGCACAGTGCTTAGATCCTGATGATAGATCCTGATGTAGATTCTGCCACAAGAACTATATCGTCGGCAAATCGAAGGTGAGTGATGTGCTCGCCATTGATGCCTCTCTGCAGTTGGATAGGTTTCGTACTCTGGTTCTGTACTCGGATAGCCCTCAAAGCCCTACTATACAAATACTTCAGCACTTCGATATACCTTAAGTCAACTTGGCACCGTTGAAGGGACTGTAGTGCCGCCCAAATTTCGACGGAATCAAAGGCTTTCTCATAGTTAACATAAGTAAGGCAAAGTGGCAGATTGTACTCTTCTGTTTTCTGTACAATTTGCAGAAGGGTGTATTTGTGGTCTATGGTACTAAAGTATTTTCGGAAACGGGCTTGTTCGGGAGGCTGAAAGTCATCAAGTCTGCAAGCGAGACGATTCGTAATGACTTTCGAAAACAGCACATAGACGCGGTTGAGAAGGGAAATCGGTCTGTAGTTCTTCAAGAAAGCGTTATCACCTTTCTTGAAGAACAAGACCACCGCACTTCTGTTCCACGCCTCGGAGTAGTACCACCATGGAAAACGGAATTAATGAGCTTCTGAAGTACTTCGAGGCCCGGTTTTCTACACGCTTTCAGAAACTCCGCTGTAATTCCATCCTCGCCGGTAGACTTGCCGTTTTTAAAATTCTGGAGAGCCATTCTAATCTCGCTCAGACTGACGTCTGGAATATCTTCGGAATAGTGTCGGATAAAACTCGCTGTTGAATCGTTACTCACACTTGCGTGTGGCTCCAACGATGACGTGTACAGCTGCCCATAGAACCTCTCAATCTCACTCAAAATTTCAGGTGTCCCGGGACTGGTATATTTTTAGGACGAATGGGTCGGCTCTCATAGAATACCAGCGTAAAATAGCAGTTTAATGCTTCTGTGTTTCAAATGGTGAGTGTAGAGAACCGGAGACCCTTTTTACTGGAAAAGAGGCATTCTATCTTAGTCCTCACGGGTGATAACGTATCTGCATTTTGATTCCGAATCGAGGATGGATGTAAATGTCTATGGGCCACACCAACCACTTACCATCAGGTGGACTGTGTGCTCGTTTGTCACCCTTATCCCATAAAAAAAAGATGCTGCCACACTCGGTCTTCAGCTTTGACAGTTGGCCCTTTCTGGCAAACAGATCTCTGGTTACGACTTTGGAGCCTTGGTTCCGCTCAATCGTTTCTTAAATACAAGCTGTCTTTAAGTTGCGTAAGTCCCGCCGCATGCATTTGTAGATCTGTTTGTTCAGTGCCCTATATGCTGTCAAATGTGTTGAAGACTGCAGCTTCATTTCCCGTCTAACAGCCATGAGATTAAGAGCGTGATCAAAGAGTTTTTGCATTCTTCTGCGGCGGTTCTTGCAGAACTTAGCTCCAACCGCAGGGACAGTTTCCACAAGCTTATCATTTATATCTTCCACTTCATTACAGTCTTCCAGGTACTGAAACCGGTTTTGTAACTCGAGCTGAAAGGTTTCGGGACTTTGGACGAGAGCACGAGTGGGACTGGTAGTCAATATCATTTTTTGTCGAATCGTCGGGGATCGACCAGGTCCACTACCTGTGGGGCCGCTTCTGGAAGAAAGAGTTCTTCAAAAAGAGTCCCTCTTTCTCCATGAAGTCAGCCAGCTACTGGCCCCTTGGGTTCCGTTGCCCTATTCCGAATTTCCCTACCTTTAGCTCGCCGTTCTCCCTTGTAGTTAGTTTAGTATTGAAGTCTCCCATTAACACCGTATAGTGGGTTTTGGAGGAATGCATGGCTCTAGAGATATCCTCATACATTTCCTCCACCTCCTCATCGGGGCGTGCCGAGGTTGGTGCGTAAACCTATATGACCTTCAGCAAATACCGTTTGGTGATTCTGAGTATAAGGTACGCAACCCTCGTCGACACACTCCCAATCCTTTTTACAAAATTGTTAACGAGAGACTTGAGGACGATAAATCCGCCACCTCCTTGGGACAGATAGTCGCCCTCCCGGTGATAGAACAAGTTGTGTGATTGGAGGATTACCGTGTCCTCTGCCTCTCTTCGGACCTCGGAAAATCCTATTATATTCCAGCGCAACTTGTTTATCTCTTCTTCCAGCTCCAGGATCTTCTCGTCAGGCCAGTGGGTAAGTTATAAATTGCCAGGTCGTGTGATCGTAGGTGCTAACCGAACCTCCACCGGAGATTTTTAGCACCCCTTGGCCCGCTGTTACCATGGTCGCCACCGTAGCCAGGAATATCGGGGCCGCCGGGTACTGGGGGCCGTATTTTCGTAACTTTTTTCATTGGGGGGTTATTGCTATAATTGCCACGCTTGGTGAGCTGATTGGCAACCGAAGGTTTTTTATTTAGATATTGCTTTTATCAGAAAGATGCTGCTGCCCTACTCCTGGCTGTTTCCCACTGCCGCCTTTTACGACATCCACGGGAAGATATGGGGTAGTGGATATTCTTAACCGCCACTACACTATTTACTGTATTTTCTATGCGTCTCTTTTATTATTAAATTAATTTACAAACTAAAAAAAATAATTGAATCAATCTGAGGTATTTAACGCCGAGTATATGTTACGGCAATGTTTCATTATTCATTCATCTTACATCATACATTAACATCTCTAGTGTCTAGCATCCTAACATTACAAAATAATCTTTAACCATTGCCATGTTCATTTTCTGTTGGAGTAAACAGTTAAACTATGCATATCCTGCGTTATACATCAGACTAAGTAAACATTACATCTTTCATGGCACTTTAAAAAATTTAAACAATTACTGACACTAGTCAACAATGTAGATAGACTCTTTGCATTTCTACAACTTAGTAAACACATCCAATACAAGTATGAGATAATATGACATAACAGCATAAAATAAAAAGCTCGCACACTTGCTAAAAGTTACGAAAACTTATTTGCATCTTTACCACAACAAAAAGAAATTATACATCTTAGACTTAATATAACACTATAGTGCTCTACGAGAACTGTTTATCTTTGACAATAAAAAAAATTACATAATAATCTGAACCTTAAGATATCACATTATTACAGCTTTATGAGATCTGGTAATACTACACTGAGGGTTCCACCTTTAAAAAATAATAAGTATCAAGTTTACCTAGTATTAATAATTCAGTCTCAAACTTTCACACCTTGAAACAAACAAAAAAAAATTATGAACAAATATTATTACTCAATACCTGTTTTACTCGCAGTCATCTTCTTCAGGCCATCTCTTCATGAAATCTGCAGATGTCGCTGTACTGTTCGGCCCCTCTGTATCTTGATACAACTTTACAACGTCGTATCGGTCGTTGCGTTTCACCTTGACTACCTTATAGGGTCCGAAGAATTTCGCTTTCAGCTTGAGCCCTGGCCCAAACTGAGTCCTTTTAATTGTGACGAGATCTCCCACCTCATACTGAGAGCTCTGCTTCCTCTTCTTATTGTAGGTATTTCTATTTTCTTCCTGTATCTTTTGAATTTGGTCTCTGGCCTTCTGCCTTAAACTTTCTCGGCTTTCACTGTATTGCTCTATAGTTTCCTGGAGTAGCAAGTTTAATATCTCTACGTCCTCCTTGCAATTCATCTTGGTTCCAGTGAGCAGTTGGAACGGTGTGGTGTCTATACTTCTCTGGTAAGTACTGTTGATTGCTCTTTGCACACGTCCAACATGTTTATACCATAGTGACTGGTCTTCGATGCACAGCTTCGTTAGCATGGGTATCATTATCCGATGAACCCGCTCTACTTGGCCGTTTCCTCTTGGTATGCCGGTTGTAATGGTAACATGCTGTATACCTTCCTCTTCGCAGTACTTCTTAAATGCTCCACTGGTAAAAGCTGTGCCTCTGTCTGTTATGATACGTACAGGGTTTGCAAACGTATCTTGGTGCAACTGTAGCTTACTTATTACTTCTGCACTAGTCGTTGATTTTGTGGGGTACAGCCACACAAATTTAGTAAATCCGTCGACTACTGTAAGTATGTGATTGTACATCTTTCGTGTCTCAGTTAGCGGTCCGATGTGGTCCAGATGCAAAGTATGCAGCGGAGTCCCTTCTTTTCCAATAGGGTTTAAGTATCCCTCCTGTTTGCCTTCTTTCCGGGTTGCTAGCACACGCGGTATGAAACTGGTAATCACTCCTTCGATTTTTCTGTCCATATTCTTTATAAAATAATCTTTGCTTATTGCTTCTTTCATTTTCTTCATAGCAAAGTGACCATTGTTATGTACTTCCTTGATTACTTCTTTTTTCATTAGCTCGGGAACCACCAGTTGTCTCTGATCACCTTTGTAAAGCACTCCTTGTTCCATATAATGGTCATTATACTGGCCATTTGTCAAAATCAGCTGTTTTATAGCCTTGAGGTCTTCATCTCTTTCTTGCGCCTGGCTGATCTTCTCGTGCAATGTTACCACTGCAGCTACATATGGGATTCTACTGAGCGCATCTGCGTGTGGCATCCTGCATCCCGCTCGATGTTCGACATCATAGTCATACTCGCTGAGAAGTAATACCCACCTGGCCACCTTTGGTGTAGGCTCCTTCTTCTTCAAGGTAAGCTCCAATGCCTCACAGTCTGTGACAATCTTAAATTACCTGCCAAAGAGGTAGTGGTGAAACTTTTTCACACCTTCTATTACTGCGAGTGCCTCAAGGTCATAGCTTGAATAACAACTTTCAATGTCATTCGTCCTTCTGCTCCTGTAATATACAGGGTGCATTTCTCCTTCTTCATTCTTCTGCATGAGAATAGCGGCTAGAGCTATGCTAGATGCATCTGATTGAAGTTTTGTATGCAGCTTCTGGTTAAAAATCATCAGTACTGGTTCACTCGTTAGCTTCTGCTTCAAAATGTTGAACGCTTGTCGCTCTTCAGGCCCGAAAACAAACTTCACATCTTTCCTCATCTAATCTGTTAGCGGCTTCGCTATCTGTGCATAGCCTCTTATGTACTTTCTAAAATAGGAAGTCAGCCCGACAAAACTTTGGATCTGTTTGACATTCACAGGCTCGGGGTATTGTGCGACTGCTTCAATCTTATCCGCACTGGGTTGTACCTGCCCGTCTTTGACCAGATGTCCCAAGTATTCAATCTCGTGGTGTATCAGCCTCGCCTTCTTCCAGTTGATTTCAAGCCCGTACTCAGCAGCCATCTCCAGCACTCGTCTTAATCTCTGTACAGCATCTTCCTTCGTCTGCGCTGGAATAACAATATCGTCTATGAATATCATCATAACAACTTCTTATATCAAGTCTCTAAATATGATGGTGATGAACCTCATGAAGTACTTCGGCGATACGGAGAGACCAAATGGTGCTCTAAGAAATTCCCACTGCCCATGATGCGTGACAAACGATGCGAAGCGTATGGACTCCTTGCTCATTCTTAAATGGAAGAAACCATTTTTAAGATCTAGGACACTGAACACCTTAGCATCTTTCAACTTATCAATTAGGTCCTCGATCAATGGTAAGGGAAATTCATCCTTAACCATCTTCTTATTCAACTGCCTATAGTCAATGCATACTCTAGTTGAACCATCTTTTTTCTTTACAAGGACTACAGAGCTAGTATATTCAGAGAAACTCACCTGAACAATTCCTTTGCGTAACCACTCGTCTACCTGATCCTCCACTATCTTCTGTTCCATCAGGGCAAGTCTTCTTGGGCGCTGCGCCACTGGGATTTCATCTTTAATATACTTAAATAATCTTACTACTTACTTACCTAATCTTGAGTTCGATAGGCGCCTCTTTCGTCTGGACCGGGTTATACTGCGTCACGAGCTGCTCCACCTTAATGCCATCTTCGTGGATATGACCTGCAATATCAACCTCACTCACACAACAATTCACTCTCGTCAACCATTCCTCACCTTCAGGTAACAACAAGACGGAACCCTCGCGCATAACCATGACAACATTTTTTAGAAATTCCTGACCTAAAATCACTTTATAGGGCATACAGTCTTTAGGTACGATGTGAAAAATAACCCCGTCGTAACATCTTCTGTCGATCGAAACACTTTCGTAAAACTTTCCACACGATTTTATTTTTGACAGTCCGTGTCCAGCTAAAATCGTGTTATCGGCGCACTTGTCCACGTTCAGTTCATTATACACGTCACTTGCCATCAGATTAATTTGACTGCCCGTATCGATTAACGCGTCCATGTCCATTCCGCACAACTTAATTAATTTAACCGGCGTACTTTGTTGCTTTTCGTGTTTGTTTACATCTTGCCAGTCGTCGTTCTCGTTCGCCATATTGCAGCTATCATGGCTGCCCGCAGTGTCCGCTCTTCTATTGGCCGAAAGTCCGAACATGGCCGATTGTCGTTGCGCTTCCGCCGTACTCTGCTTTACCGACATTTGCTGTCTTCCTTTCTCCACCGGGCCGGTTACGCGATACTCGCGCAATTGCTTAACCGACAATTCTCCGATGTTTGCAACGCCGCTTCTCTGCTCGTTCGGGCACTGTGTACCAATATGGCCGAACTCATTACACCGGAAGCATTTCGTTCCATTCGTACACGCTGTTGAAATATGACTTGGATCGCCGCACTTATAACATCTTTTATTATTATTAGTTTGCTGCCGACTTACTGAACCCGACGATGAAGTCGATGGATATGATATGGATGACTTTCTTTGTTTTTCAGGAACGATCTTCGTCTTCATTTTTTCATAACAAACGAGTTTTTCTTTTAACACTGAATATGATGTAATTCCGTACAACATCATCTTGTTTACTTCTTGATTTACGATGCCGTCCACGATGTACTGGATCGAGACGTAGTCTGGGAATTTAGCTCTTTTGCCCAGTTCCTTCATAATAGAAAAAAGAGAAAAAGAAAGAAAAAGAAAAAAAAAACATTTATTCACGGTCTAATCACAATAGATACAAAACAAAGCAAAAAAATGGATTTAAACAGAAAGTAAAACAATATTTTTTTTTTTTATAGGAGAGGGGGCAAACGAGCATGCGGCTCACCTGATGGTAAGTGACTACCGCCGCCCATGAACAACCGCAACACCAGGGGAATTGCAGATGCGTTGCCGGCCTTTTAAAAAGGAGTAGGCTCTTTTCTTGAAGGTCCCTAAGTCGTATCGGTCCGGAAAAATCCCTGGTGGTAAACTATTCCACAAGGAAGTTGTGCGAGGAAGAAAACATCTTCTAAATCGCACAGTGGTGGACCGCCAATCATCCAGATGGTGTGGATGGTATCGGGAGTTCTGCCGCGATGTGCGTTCGTGAAATTTGGCGGCTGGGATTAATCCGAACAATTCCTCAGAGCACTCCCCATGGTAGATGCGAAAGAAAATGCAAAGAGATGCAACATCTCTTCGCAGTGCCAATGAATCGAGCCGATCGGAAAGGGCTCGGTCGTCGACGATTCGAGCCGCTCTGCGCTGGATGCGGTCAAGTGGAAGGAGCTGGCACTGGGGAGCCACTGCCCAGAGATGGGAACAGTATTGCATGTGAGGCCGAACCTGCGCCTTGTAAAGTTGCAGGCGGTGTGCCGGCATGAAATACTGTCCCGCTCTGCTGAGCACGCCAAGCTTTTTAGAGGCCAATTTGGCCTTCTCTTCCAAGTGACCACGAAACTGCACGTCACTCGATATGTCGACTCCGAGGATACCGATACTGGCTGAGGCAAGAAGGGGAGTGCCTTGAAACTGAGGAGATACGACAAAGGGGTTCTTTTTAGCGGTAAACGCGCAAACTTGTGTCTTCTGAGGATTAAACTGGACTAGATTTAGTCGCCCCCAATCCGAGACTTTGTCCAGCAAAGACTCGACTTCAGACACAAGTTTGTTCCGGTACTCGGCGACGTTTTCCCGAGAAATATTGGCCCGGCCGGTGTATAGAGCATCACCAGTGCTGTCATCCGCATAGCAATGAATGTTACCAGTTAGCAACATATCATTGATATGCAGAAGAAACAGCGTTGGTGATAGCACACAGCCTTGTGGAACACCAGCGTTAATAGGCTTGTAGTCAGAACATGCACCGTCTACAACGACCTTGATGCTCCGATCTGCAAGAAAGCTGGTGATCCAATTGCACAATTTCTCGGGAAGCCCATAGGAAGGCAGCTTCGAAAGAAGCGCTTTGTGCCAAACCCGATCAAAGGCCTTCGCAATGTCCAGACTAACGGCCAACGCCTCCCCCTTGGACTCTACTGCCTTCGCCCATCTATGGGTCAGGTAGACCAGAAGATCACCAGCTGATCGACACCGACGAAAACCGTATTGGCGGTCACTAATCAGCTGGTGATCCTCAAGGTACCGGATGAGCTGGCAGTTAATAATGGATTCCATTATTTTGGAGAACAAGGAGGTGATCGCGATAGGCCTATAGTTGGACGGGTCTGAGCGGTCGCCTTTTTTAGGGATCGGGTGGACAAAAGCTGTCTTCCATGAATTCGGGACTACGCCTTGGGAGTAGGAGTACCGGAAAAGACGCGTTAGGACCGGTGCCAACCCCGGAGCACACGTCCTCAGCACAATTGGGGGGATTCCGTCAGGCCCACTCGACTTCTGGATGTCCAGGGAGAGAAGTGCTTTGCGAACTGAGCGCTGTGAGAATAGCACATCCGGCATGGAGCACTCACACCGCGGGATGGTCGGCGGTATTTTCCCCCCGTCATCAAGAGTCGAGTTGGACGCAAAAAGGGAGCCTAAAAGGTCGGCTTTGTCTTTTGCGTCTTGGGCCAGTGAGTCGTCCTCCCTGTGCAGAGATGGTAGTGATGGCTTACAGAAATTCCCTTGGACAGCCTTGGCGAGAGACCAGAATGCACGGGTTCCCGAAGGAAGGCGAACTAGTTTCTCGCCAATTCTGCCTATGTGCTCTGACTTTGCCTTGGCAATAACTCTTTTGAAGGACCTGGAGGCGAAGTTATACTTCTTTTTAAGTGTGCTGGTGTTTACATCCCGAGTCACCGAAGCCGCAGCCCAGGCTTGATAACACTCCTGCTTACTGCGCAATGCAGTCTTACAGGAGCGACCAAACCAAGGCTGAGATCTGCCTCCGATGGGTACCACAGATGATGGAATAAATAGTTCCATTCCCTGTAGCACCACATCAGTGACAGAGTCAGCAACAGCACTGGGATCATCCGGCGAGAAGCAAACCCGCCCCCATGGGTAGGATGCAAAGAAAGACCGCATTCCGTCCCAATCCGCCGACCTGTAATGCCAAACACGGCGGGAACCTGCAGAACGCAACCGCGAAGGGAGCGTGAGTGGCACCATACTCCGGATCAGACAATGGTCCGAAGAGCCGAGAGGGGCATCGACGGAAACCTGATATCCGTCCGGATGAGAGGTCAGCAGAAGGTCCAACAGGGAAGGTGTATGATCCTCCACATCTGGAATCCGCGTAGGCGAAGTAACCAGTTGTGTCAGACCATATGCCAAGGCAAAGTCATAAACAGATCTCCCCGCATGATCGGTTAAACGTGAACCGAGCCATTCGGCATGGTGGGCGTTAAAATCGCCAAGGATCACGATCTCCGCGGATGGGACCTGTTGTAGCAAGGAATCTGTAGCCATTTGGACGTGGTCGATGAGTCGGTCTGTTTCGGCATTACCGCTATGGGACCTATAGAGGCACCCGTAGACGCGCGGATGGTCGTCGCTGTCTACGCGTAGCCAAAGGATGGACAGGTCCGAACCTTCAAGACTGCCGAGGCGTCGAGAACAGATGTCCTCTCTAACATACACGCAAACTCCAGCCCGAGGCACAAAGGAGTGCTCCAATTTGTACCCCGGGCAGGAGAGATACGAAATATCAGTCGGAGAGGAAACCTGC